ACTAGAGCCAACTGTCACAGCGTAAAAGTAGGTGCTGAGGCTTCAAGCACAGAGACCACAGCTACCCAAGAATTTCTAGCAGCACTTAGAGAAATTATTGCTGAAGGTTCTTATTTACCCAAACAGGTTTGTAATGTTGATGAGACAGGACTTGACTGGAAGAGGGTGCCAAAACAAAGTTACATCAGGAAAGAGGAAAAGTTGATGCCAGGCTTCAAAGTAGCAAAGGACACACTTACTCTGGTGGCAATGCTTCTGGGGATATGAAACTAAAACCTCCCTTAGTTTACTATTCAAAGAATGCAAGAGCCTCAAAAATATAGTCCAGGGCTCTCTACTTGTTGTGTGGAAGAGTAACTTCAAAGCTTGGGTTACACAGGCCATTTTCTAGGACTGGCATTTCAACCACTTTATCCCAGAGATAGAGAAATATTGTCTGCAGAAGTATATCCCATTCAACATTCTTGTGCTGCTTGATAATGCACCAGACTGCTCCTGGTTCATGGGTGACTTTCCCCCAATGTCAAAGTGGTACATCTGTAACCTAATACTACAGGACTCATCCAACCTATGGACCAAGGAGTTACTGTGACTTTCAAGGAATGTTATTTATGTTACACTTTTTGTCAGACAGTGAAGGCAACTGATGAAACAGGAACAACCTTGCAACAATTTTGGAAGGACTGTAACATCTTTAAGGCCATGAAAACATCAACTTTGCTTGGCATGAGGGTTCTGCTGTCACCATGGATGGGGTTGGAAGAACATTTACCTTTTGTTCATGAAGTTCATGGACTTGAGAAGATGGGTAAGGAGTCTAAAGAGATCTTCCACAACTCAGTGACCCTTAGTAAGAAGCTGGAGCTGGATCTGCAAGAGGACAACTGCACTGAACTCCTTCCTGTGCGACATAAGGACCTGATGGAATTAGAGGCCCAGCAAAATGACCAAATATATATATTTATGGTCTCTAAATTATGATGATTTGATTTACAAATTTTTAACTTTACAATAGTCCAAATATGATCCAAATTCAATAGAAACTGTACTTCAAATTTTGAATTTTGATCTGTTCATCTAGGGTTAGAGTTATGCAGTATAGTACTCTCTTGTAATAATAGGCTGTTGATCTCAGTCAGAAACAAGCCATATAACTCCGGTGGACTAGGATATTAAGCTGTTACATTGGTAGGTGAGGTATATTAAAGGTATTTTTGATTTATGATATATTTAACTGGCAGTGGAGTTATTGGGATGCAACCCCATCATAAGTCAAAAAGTATCTGTATTTCTCACTTCTCCCTGCATATCTTTTACTATTTTTTGTTCCATTCACTGTTTTTCTTCAGAAACCATCAACTTAATGAGACACTTAGAACTCCATATCCATCAATTCCTCTCTATTGTTCTTTTAATCTGTTTTTAAAACTATATCTCCAGACTCTTGAAATTTCTCCTCTTGCCTCAAAAATGTGTTTTTACAGTTGACTGGTTTGGTTGACACATTCACTGCGTTTGTTTAATATGGCTCTTGAGTATCTTTTAATCTTTGACAGTTTACCTCCCCCTCCCTTTTATGACATTTACAGAACAAACTGGGTCATTTGTCATCATAAATTTCCTATGATCTGACTTTGGCTGTTTGAGTCTCATGATGTGGTTTAATAAGTTCCTATATTTTGTACATCTCTGGCCCTGTATTTCCCATGCAGTGATCATGAGATACACAATCTTGATTAGATTCTTTTGACAAGAGTCCCTTCTCTGTTACTCCCTATTGTGCTATCTTCAGGAGGCATTTAGTATCTGTCTGTCTTGCTTCTACTCATAATAATCAATAGGTTCATTTGTTAGCCAGCATGGCGGCACATGCCTGTGACCCCCAACACCCTGGAAGGCTGAGGCAGGAGGAGCACACCTTCCAGCTCAGCCGGGCAATTTAGACCATTTCTGCATTCCCGATCACTGCTTCCATAAAAGGGAAGACCTCCTTTTTGTAAGCATGATTCTCATTATGGTCGCTCCTCTGTGTCTGTGGAGATTGGCTCCAAGACTCCTCCGCAGATCCAGATCTATGGGCAGGAAAATCCTTTACACAAAAATGGTGTTGTATTTGCATATAACAATGCACATCCTCCCATACATTTAAAATCCTCTCTTGCTTACTATTTCTTTCTTTCTGAAGCAGGGTCATAGCAGCTGTGTAGCTCAGTCTGGCCTCATACTTGCAATCCTCCTGTCTTGGCCTCCCAAGTACTGGGATGACAAACTTGTGCCACCACACCTAGCTATCTCTTGCTTATTTATCACACCTAATTCAGTGTAAATGCTGTTATACTGCTGTAACTGTTACACTGTATAATGTATGCAGTTTGGGAAACAATGACCTAAGCGCATCTGTGTATGTTCATTGCAGACACAGCCTTCACAGGCCTACTGATGTAGTGAGGAAATGAGATGTGAGGTGAACAGTGCTCAAGTTCCAGAGAGACTGAGGATCTGTGGTGGACAGCAGGCCCACATCAGCGTGTGCCCTCACATGGCGTCAATGGTGTGGGTTCAGTGTAGCTTTGGCACTGACAAATTCATATTTTGCTTTTTGGAACTTTCTAGAATTTTTTTCCAAATGTGTTTTATCCACAGTTGAATTCATGCATGTTGGGCCCGTGAATAACGACAGACTGTGTTAGGCTCCTCATCAGCTTTCCTTCTAATTGTTGTAATATCCATTGGTGATTGATGCCACAGCTCGTTATTTCACTAGCGTTTACAAAGTTATTCTCTAATTCTTTCATAGCTTCCATGTGCAATCCATGTGTACAAGTACATATGGCTATGTGTTTCATTTTATCACAGTGCTTAGTTGTTTTGTTGCTCAGTCTTATCTTTTGCCAGTACAAGATCATTCCAGAATTTTAGCTGTAGATTTGAGCTTCTCTATTTTTTTCCTTTTTAAAAAATTTTTAGAATTTATGTATTTTTGTTTCTTAGTTTGAGACTTGTTCTTACTATGTAGCACAGTCTGGCCTTTCATATGCTACACAGTCCAAGGTGACCTCAAACTCACTGCAATCCTCCTGCTTCAGCCTCCAGAGTGATAGGATTACAAGTTTGTGCTACCATTTCCAACTTAGCTTTCCTAATCTTTTAAAACTCTTTATTCTTTTTCATTTCATTTGATACATCCAGCAAAAGGAGGCAAAAAGAGGACAAAAATCTCTGTCAGTGGTTTTCAGTTTCCCTGAAGTAATCCTAAGTGTACTATCCTAGCCTAGCTCTAACCTAGCCCTAACCTAACCTAACATCCTGACCTGGGGTTAAAAAGTCTGAATAACATTTTGCTTTAAATAGCCACTAAGGGGAAGGGAGGAAAACAATTGACAAGTTTTATATAATTGTCCCAATTCCCTACAATGAATGCAATCATTATACACTACAAACACATACTAATAGAAAATAAATAAATAAATAATACCAAATAGTAAGATTCTTATTCTAGAAAGATATATCATATCTGGCCTACAATTTTATAAATATAGTGATCCTTGCTTCATGAACTTCTTTCCGTGATTCTGGTCAAAAACTAAATTGGAGTAGGATGTGGTGGCACATGCCTGTGATCCCAGCACTCGGGAAGCTGAGGCAGGAGGATCGCTGTGAGTTCAAGACCAGCCTGAGCTTCATAGTGAGTTCCAGGGCAGTCTGAACTGCATAGTGAGACCCTGTCGCAAAACAACAACAGCAACAACAAAACAGAAACAATGAGATGAGATGAGAACGGAGTCAAATTTCCCCACAAGGTCAATATTGAGTCTAACCATGATTGTTCTGTAGTATGTCATATCCTCGATGTATGAGTCACCCATCTGTATAGTTTTATGATGCAGAAAGCCACGGGAGCTTTTCTCCCCACAAAAAAATAAATATACATTGTAATATGATGTCTTCAATCCTTTCAGGAAAATATCTAGAAGGGGAATAGCTGGGTCAGATGGAATTTCTAGTTTTAGTTTTTTGAGGAATACTGATTTCCATAGGGGTTGTAATAGTTTACATTCCCACCAACAATGTAGAGGATTCCTCTTCCCCAGCAGCCTTGCCAGCATTTGTTATCTGATTTCTTGATGATAGCCATTCTTTTTGGCATAAGATAGAATCTCAGTGTTCTAATTCGTATTTGTCTAATGGCCAGAGATGTTGAAAAAAATTTTCATACATTTATCACCTGTTAATACTTCTTCTGAGAAATGTCTGTTCATTTCATTTGTTTACTTTCTGTTTGTTTGTTTTGTTTTGTTTTGTTTTTTTACCAGGAATCGAACTTGGGTTCCCTGGTCCTCATTTATTTTGGATTGGGTCTTTTATTTGAGGGGTTAAATTTTTTGAGTTCTTTATATATTCTAGATATTAGTCCTCTGTCTAAGGACTAGCTGCCAAAAATTTCTCCCATTCTGTATGTTATCTTTTCACTCTGTTGGTTGTTTCTTTGAAGTACTGAAGCTATTAAATTTGATATGATCTCACTTTTTGAAATCTTGGTAGCAGCCTGTATGTCCATCAACAGATGACTGAATAAATGTGGTATTTGCACACAATGGAGTACTACTCTGCCATAAGGAAAGATACACAAATCATTCGTAGGAAAATGGATACACCTTAAGACCATACTGTTAAGTGAAACAAATCAGACACACAAGCTTAAATATCACAAGGTTTTGCTTATATGAGAAACTCAAATTGTAAACAAGGAGCAAAATAAAAGATAACAGGAAGTAGAGAGATAGATCCTTCTCAAATGGGAAGGGAATCAAGAAGTGAAAGGAGGAGGAGGGAAGAGCAAGGGGATTAATAAAAGGAATGAAGATGTGTTATTCACATGTACCGACTCCACACAAGGAATGCAAACATTGTTTACTGCAAACATGTACTAAGAAATAAACTCAAATATACCCTCCACAAACTCTTTGCTTTTCATATTCCCAGCATTCTCATACCTCTCACTTCCCCGTGGTCTTTGATCTATCTCTGATCTGTGTTCTTTGACTCCTTTTAGTCAATGAAAATGCTCACATCTCTTTCTGAAACAAAACAGCAAAACATACCTCTACTCTTTTATTTTTTAAACAGGGTCTCAATAAATTGCCTAGGTTGGTCTCTGTCAATCCTTATACCTCAGTCTCCCAAATAGCTGGGATTGTAGGTGCATGCCACAGTGTCCCTGCTTTCCCCCTACTTTTGATCCTATATTTGTATAAGATCAAGGCTTGCATCTATCTAAATGTGTTGGTGTATGCCTGCAATTCCAGAACTCAGGAGGCTGAAGCAGGAGGATTCCTATGTGTTCTAGGCCAGTCTGTACTGCGTAGTGAGACCTTGTTCAAAAAACAGAAATAAACAACTAGTCCATTCTGCCTATTATAACAAAATAACCATAAATTGGATATAATAGTAATTTATTTCTTATAGTTCTTTAGTCTGGGAATTCCAAGATGGGGCACCAGAAGATTTAGTGTCTGGTGAGGGCCCACTTACTGGTTCTCAGGCAGCATCTTTTCTTGTGCCTTCACATGCTGGGACCAAGAGTCTTTCTGGTCTATTTTATAAAGGTACTAAGCTTATTTCTGAGGGCTCCACATTTATGACCTAGTCATCTCCCAAAGAACTCATCTAATACAATCACCTCGAGGATTAAGCTTTCAACATATGAGTTGAGAGGTGAACATTCAGACCACAGCACATTTCTATATCACCGCAATATAGTCCTTATCTCTAGTCAGCATCTCCTAACTGGACAGAGATAGTAGAGTAATAAGGGAGAAAAGCTATAGGACTCCTCTCATCTTACATTCATGGTGTCATTCAGTTCCCACCACAAGTTATATGTTGGGAATTTCTTTTCTCATTTTACAAATAAGGAAGCAAAAGTTTAGTAAACTAAATGACCAACTCCAGGTCATAGAGCTACCAGGGAGCCATGCTTGGATTTAAGCCTTTTTATTCTAAGCCTAGTGCCTTTTCTGATGCATGGAAAGCAGAGATCCAGCAAAAAGGGGGGCACAGCAAAGCGACAGCAAAGCTGGCAGGAGGTAAAGTCATGAGACAGAACTGTGTGGCAGGGCTGCTGTTACTCCTCAAGCACTAAGGAAGGTGACTTATGAGCCTTATAAGCAGGTGAAAGGGGTAATATGAATTATGATGACACAATTATGGAATTTTTTGGACAAAGACATGAATTCATCTGGACAGCTTTGAAGAAATCATGAACACTCTATTTTATAAAGAAACTCAAAGCCAGGGAGATGGTTGACCAGCCTTATGGTCCTGTAACACTAATAGTGAAGCCAGACCAAAGGCCAGCCAGCACTCATTGGGATGCTGGGTTAAAATATTGAAATGCTTCTCTCTATTTTTTCTACTTTTTAAAGAAATAGGGTCTCACTATGTTTCCCAGGCTTTCCCCAAACTCCTGGATTCCAGTTGTCTTCCTGGCTCAGCCTCCCAATTAGCTGGGACTATATAGGTGCATTCCACCATGCCTGGCTAGCCTCTTCTTTTTTTGTTTTTGTTTTAGTACCGGGGATTGAACTTGGGACCTTGCACTTGTGAGGCAAGCAGCAGAACACTGAGCAAAATCCCTGGCTCTAGCCTCTTCTTAAACAGCTTTGTTGTTATATAATGTACACACTACAAACTTCATCCATTGTAAGTGTACAATCCAGTGCTTTTTGTTTTGAGGAATTTTTGAATCAAGGTCTAGCTATGTTGCTGAGGCTAGCCTTGAATTCCTGAGCTGAAGTGATTCTCCTTTCTCAGCCTATTCAATACTTTTTCATAGGGTTATGCAACTAGGTAAGCATCAGTACATTCTAGTTTTAGAATATTTCCATCACCTCAAATAAAGAAAACATTAAAATATCTCCATAGCAGTTGGTAAATAGCCATTGCCATCAATCCCCAAAAGAACCTACTTTCCCAAGCTTCTGAACAATCCTGGACTCCCTGTGATCTAACTAAAGATCCCTGGCCCACACCCAGCAGAGTTTCCAGCCTCTACCCCAGCAGTGAGTAGCCTCTGTCCTGCGCGACTGTTACCTATGCCACACATGTAGTGAAAAAACTTCAGTATTATTCTTGGGAAGGATCAAGGTAAGTACTCAGCTCTTCTGGTTTCCAATCCAATCTCACACCACACCTTGTCTTTCAGGAAGACCAGTTCTAACAGTTTGGTTCTTGAATGTCTCTCAAAGGCTCTTGTGTGGAAGGTTTATTCTCAGCCATTACTCAGTACTTCTCAGGCACTCCTGGGAAGTGATGGAAACTTTAGGTATGCGAGATGTTAATTCCCTGGGGCAGCCTCTTGAAGAGGACATTGGGAACCAAGCCTCAGCCTCTCCTCCTGGTGTCTTGGCTGCCATGAGGTAAATAGGCCTTCTCCGCCATGAGCTCCTGCCAGGATGTATTCTGCTTCCACAGGCCTAAAACAAGAGGCCTAAGCAATCATGGACTGAAACCTCTGAAACCACAAGACAGAATAAATCCTCCTTTTAAGTTGTTTAGCGTCAGTATTTTGTCACAATAACATAAAATTGACAACCAGAAAATAAACAAGTGAAAAAAAAACATTGTGTGAAATTGTCCAAATAAAAGGCAGATTTTGGAAGGGCAAGAAATTGAGCTAGGAGCTATCTTCACTCATTGGTACAGATGCTCTCATGTTGAGATTTACAAATCTCCACTAACGGATGAACTTATAAGCATCAGGTAACTTCCTGCAATACAAAAGTTCATGAGTATGTGAATTTTTTCCTGTGGAGCAGATCCATGGCTTTCATTTCATTTTTTTTTTTTTAATGGTCTGGGCATTAATCTCAGAGCCTTCTCACTGAGCTACAACCCCTTTTCACTGAGTTCTGAGCTACATCCTCTCCCTTCACCTTTTGTGTGTGTGTGTGTGTGTGTGTGTGTGTGTGTGTGTGTGTGTGTGTGTGACAGAATCTTGCTACTTCGAGAAGTTGCCCAGAGTGGGCTTGAATTTCTGATCCTTCTGTCTCGGCCTTCCAGAGTACTGGGATTACAGGTGTATCATTAAATTTTATTTATTTATTTATTATTTTTGGTACCGGGGATCGAACTCAGGTCTTTGTGCTTACAAGGCAGGCGGCGGAACCACCGGGCTAAATCCCTGGCCCCATCCCATTAAATTTTAAAAGGGTCTGTGGGACAAAAGGAAAGACAGCCTTTTATAAGTATTAACATGTTAAGAACATGTTTGTCAATAGGCTTTTGGGAAGAAATAAGAAAGGGCTACAGATCTGGATAAAAGGATTCTCACTAGTGAGCCTCAGGGAAAAGACTAAAATATAGAGAATCCTTGATTTATAAGTTTCAACATGACTTTTTGATTTTATGGTGGTATAAAAGTGATACACATTCAATAGAAATGACTTCAAATTTTGGATTTTGATCTTTTCTTGGGCTGGTGAGACATGGTACAATAGTCTCTAGAGAGGCTGGGTGGTAACAGGGAGCTTTAGCATCTAGTCAGCCCCTTCATCCCAGGGGAAGCAAACTACACACTACTATAGGCTGTGTGGATAATATTCTTTGGATGTTATATCTTGCATTTTTATCCATCATGTCTACAACATGCCCATCTGTGTCTTTTGTACCCATACAACCATGCTATTTTTCATCTTCAGTACACAGTTCAAAATCAAATATATGAGCTATTCAATACTTCACTATAGAAGGGGCTTTGTGTTAGATGGTTTGCTCAACTGTAGGCAAATGTAAACTGAGCAAGATTAATGTAGGTCAGGCTAACCTAAGATGTTTAACAGCTTAGGTGTATTGATACACTGTTTGTTTCAGGTACTGGGGGTGGAACCCAGGGGCACTATACGTTGAGCTGTATCTTCCCTGACCCTCTTTTTTCAGATAGGTCTTGCTAGGTTGTCCAGACTAAACTTGTGATCCTTCTAACTCTGGAGCAGCTGGGATTAGCAGAATGCGCCACCATGCCCAGCTGCATTTTTCAACTTGTGATATTCTCAATTTGTGATGGGTTTATTTGGAGCATATATAAATTTTTTCCTGGTTCACAATTTTGTTTGCAAATAAGAATCAACTACTATTTTTTTGAGACAGGATCTCACTATGTAGTTGAGATTGACCTGGAACTCACTATGTAGCCTAGGCTGGTCTTGAACTCACAGCGATCCTCCTGCCTCAGCCTCCAAAGTGCTGGGATTACAGGTGTGTGCCACCACGCCCGGCTAGAATCAACTAGTTTGAAGTGTAGAATAGCCACACAGAATAAGACAAACATAAAATAATTTTTCTATTAGTTATATTATTAATTTTCTTTGCCCTTTATTAGATTTACATGAAATGACCGAGTCGGGTTCAAAATTATAAAAGTAATTTTTTTTACTTTATAGATATGCTTTTCTTAAAGTATTATTCTAAATTATGAATATGGAGAATATGGAATTTTTGCTACTTCATGAAATGAAATCCCAGTAGTACTAATTAGCATTTAAAATTGTTAACTAAAGCCTCCAAGTATTTCTAAATAAATGCAATGAAGCCCAGTTCATTTCTTACTATATTTACAAAAGTGACTTTAAAACTTAAAACAGTACAATCTTCCTTTTTTTTTTTTTTTTTACCAGGGATCAAACTCAGGACCTTGTGCTTGCCAGGCCATCACAGTGCCACTGAACTAAATCCCTGGCCCCATCCCATTATCTTACTTACACACACACACACACGCGCACACACCCTTTTTTCTCATGCTGGAGATTGAACCCAAGGTCCCATATCTACCAGACAAGCACTCTATTATGGAGCTACAATCCCAGTCCTTTAACCTGTGTTTTAATCAAATCATTTAAAACTTTGATTTTCTAGATGGGAGCTGTAGCAAGTGACTATAGTGTTAGCACCTGGGAGGATAGGCAAGAAGATCATGAGCAAAAAGGCCAGCCTAGACTATGGAGGGTTACCCTGTCTCAAAATAAAGCAAAAGGAGAGAAAAAAAATTATGTGTTTTTTTTGTTTTTTTTTTTCACTGAATGCATAGAGTTTGAAATGTGGATGAAACTAAAAATTATACAGTCTGAGGGCTAGGGGTTTGGCTCAGTGGTTCCTTGCAAGCGTAAGGGCTGAGTTAGATTCCCAGTATCAAAAAAAAAAAAAAAAAAAAAAAAAAGAAGAAGAAGAAGAAGAAGATTATACAGTCTGACTTGCAAAATTTTACTGATAAAGAAACAAACCCAAACAAGGCATGGTCTCACATGCCTACAGCCCCAGCATTCTAGGAGACTGAGACAGGAGGATCACAGGTTCAGGCTCAGTCTGGGTGAATTAGTGAGACACTGTCTCAAGAAAAGGGGTAGCAAGGATGTTGGTTAGTTTAAAGACTTTGTGTCGATTTTTAGTAAGGTGAGGAGAACCTTGATCAAGCTCTCTAATGAAAGAACTAGGATAAGAATGCAAATTTTGAGTTTTTCATTTTGGGCCTTTTCTAACATGCAATAAGCAAGCTGTTGATTGTTGAACTACCTTTATTTCTCTGGTGAGATCAGCCACTAAGAACAAACTACACTGCGGAAACATAGACACAAGCAAGGGTTTCTGCATCAACTATTCTGCCTTTTCACACTCCAACCAGCAGATCTTCATAGGACAGCTTTTGACTTTCCAGACTAATCAATAGAACAAAAGCACCCATAAACCATAAATCATGCTACATTATCAACATTGCATCTCAGGGATACTTTTTGTGAGTCCTTCAATGTAGTCAAGGGAGAATTGCCTCTCCTTGTAAGCCATTTCCAATTGCTGTGGAAATTTTTTAAAAAGCGCCATTATCAAATCTAACAAAAATAATCATTTTAAACATTATTTAATATCCATTCTATGTTTAATTTTCCCCACTTGTCTCAAAAATATATTAGTTTTTTTAAAAAAATCTTAGTTTGCTTAGATCAGGACTCAAATGAGATAGACATATTGCATTTAACATGTGTTTTAAGTATCTTTACTACAAATGATTTTATCAAAAAGATTCTTCAAGGATATGGGAAACTTTATTATTGCTGAACTTTTTTTCTAGAGTGATTGTCTCACTTTCACTCCTATAGAGTTTATAAGAGATCCACTTCCTCTTACACTTATGGTATTGTTAGACATTTTAACACCTAACTATAGATAGTAAGCCTTACTCTACAGAAATGAGATGTGAGCCTCGTCTTCAAATATTATATAATCAAGTGTTTTAGATATAAACATTTTATGGTCATCAGAGATAATTATATACTTCTACACTCTCTGAAAGTCATTGTTTCAGCTTCTGAATGTCAGCATCTCATATGTTTTTGTTTTCTTTTGTTGCTGAGGGTTCAACCCAGGATATCATGCATACTAGACATAAACTTTACAAACGCAGCCCTCCATCATATATTAATGAAAGAATAAAGGAGATACTTAACTGTGCTCAATTTAGTATTTTCTAGGAAGTATATGACTTGGTATTGATCCCCCCACCCCAGAAGATCCCTTTAGCACAAGCAAAGTCAGAATGCCTGTAATCACTTTTCTTCCTTGTTAGTATTTGTCTTGGCAGGCTGTTGCTCTGATGATGCCATAATGCTTTGTTTGTGGGTCACCCAATGTCACTGAAACCTTCAGGAAGAATCAACTTTTAGGCAAGGTAAAGGGTGGTAAAACTTGATCTTCTGGAGTAATTCCCTGAGATCATAGGAGTAGAAATCCCTAGGAGAAACTATACCTGGAAACATTTTCTATAAGCTTTCATCTTTCATTAGAATATGTGGTTTTACTCACTGTTGTGATGTCCAGAGTAAAAATGGATTAACACATGATATTCTTTTGGTTTATTCCTGATTTCCAACAGCATTCATATTTCCTCAAAGACACAGTCATCTCACACAAAAAGGGGAAAGCAATCCATTTCTGGTAATAGAGCAGAAGTCTGAGAGAAGAATACACCAATATAATTTCTTCACTAGTGAGGAGCTAGTGTCTTTAGTATTATATCATAGAAAAATGCCATATTTTAAAGATCTTTTTCCGTTTTAAAAACGTCACATTATGGATATTTCCAGAGAACACGCTATCTTTAAAGAGTGTGAAGAATGATATCTTACATTGGTTATATTTATACCTTAGAGAAATGTCTTTAAAAAACCCTAACAAATGCCAGTAATATGACAGATTTTAAGCTTTCATTCTGGTACAAACCTTTTACTCAGTGTATCAGCTACTTTTTTTTTTTTTTTTTTTTTTTTTTTGAGATTGAACACGAAGTGCAAGCTTTTGGCTTCTATTTCCCCTTATAAACCGATGACATCTTCAGTTCCTGAGGAGCCTTCAAAAATGTGGATTCTGATAAATGTTGGCAGAACTGGTGCATTCCTAGAATAAAATTTCTGTGCTCAGCTTTTCTTACCCAAATATATCCGTAGGTTCAATGACCATCCAACTGCCAACCAAAAAAACTGCTCGCCAGTTAATAAGCTGAAAAGGACAGCCTGTGAACACGATGGAAGGTCTAGTCTAAGTGTATAACCACACTGTGCCGCTGGTATATTAAAGTAAATTCATGCCTAGGGTCAAATCTCTAAGGAAAATTTGACTGCTGTAACAACCATAGCTATTACTGATGTAGTGGTGAAATCTTAAATTGAGGAGGCTGGAGTTAGAGAGAGAAAAATTGTATATAAACAAAAGAAAAACTTCAAATTTCTTTCTCCTTTTTCAGGCAAGTTTCAGCTCTACAAATCTAAATACCCTTGTCTTTCAAATATATCACAATATTGTTCTGCTCAATTCTCATCCCTTTGTACAAGGAAAACTCTTTTCCTCAAATTAAGTCATGAGAGGTTTTCAGATCTGCATGGACCAGAAAGTAGTCGTGGGCAAACTTTAACCTGGCCCCCAAGGCTGCGAAAGTGGGTTTGGTGCGAAAACGTCCTAAAGGAAAAACCTGTAAACCGTACACTTGGAGTCAGAAACATAAAACGAAATAGAAAAAACAATCTCACGGATCTAGACATCATCAGGATTTCAGGAAACAGTATAGGCTCAAAAATCAGTAACAGAGGTCGAGTCAAAAGTGCATCAGCGAGCTTTCTGCCTCAGGTACAGCAGGCAGAAGCCCCGCTGGGCTTCAGGGTACCCAAAGCGCTTGTTACCACGACCCCGCCCCCTCGCGGGCCCCCGCGCGGTAGCCAATCCGCTCGAGCAATCCCCTTCCCATCGGACGCCCCGCCCCCGCGCCCGGG